ACGCCAACATCTCTGTCTCCATGCCTAGCCTCACTGCTTCTCTGGGAAGGGTCACACTTTCCACTCTTCTCGCTTGATGGTCCCAGGGACCTCCACTCCTGGGCTGCAAAAGCAATCAATCTCCTCCTTTTGCCAAAGAAAAAAGGGGGGAAAAAAATCTGCCTCTACATTTCCAACCCTCACAGTCAGTCCTGGTGGCAGGTATTCACTGTTGTACCACAAGAGTCTTATCCCCATTTCCTTTTGTTAGCCTGGTCCCAAGAGATTGGAAATTGTTCAGTGGAGGTTCTGCATATCCCTGTCCCATTTGGAACTAGGCTCCCTCTTGGCTTGTAAGCCAGTCACTTCTTGCCTTTATAGGCCACCCCCCTCCATTTTGGGTCTGGGCAATTTCCAGGCCCCCTCAAGGTTGTCCAGTCAGTTATAGGCTGAAGACAAGCTTACATGTTTTCTGTTGTGATGTTTCTGGCTATGCTCCCCCGACCCAGGTGTAGGCAAGAGAAACCAAGATTCAAAAGACAGCCAAGCATCCTAACATTATTCACCTCTTTTCTCCTTTCAATCTGTGCCTCAATCCCTGTATCCTGAAGCCCTATTATTCCAAGGTTGTGTATATATCATTTACCTCTATCCCACCTAGCCCATACGAACATACCCAACCGTTCTCTCATCCGTCTTGTTCTTCTTTTTCCCTCCCCCTTCTTGTGGATTGATAGCTCCCCCCTGTACCCTCACCCCCAGCACCCAGGCTCTCCTATGTCTATTCCCTACCCTATGCTCTTTCTTCCCCTCCCTTCCTCCCCTACTCTCATCCCATGCATCCCGGTGATCAGCAGATATATATATATATATATAATTTTTCCCCCCTTTTTGGTGGGTTCTTTTTCTTAGTCTTTTACAGTAATGGTCTTATGCAGTATTTCTCCTTTTGTGACTGACTAATTTCACTCAGCATAATGTCCTCAAGGTTCATCCATGTTATGCGATGACTTGCAGCTTCCTTGTTGTTCTTCAAAGTAGCATAGTATTCCATTGTGTGCATGTCCCACAGTTTGTCTATCCATTCTTGGGCATTTGGCTGTCTCCAGTTTTTTTGCTGTTGTAAATAGTGGTGTTATGAACAATGGTGTGCATATGTCTACTCGTGTTATGGCTCGTATTTCTTGTGGGTAAATACCAAGTAGAGGAATTGCTGGGTCATAAGATATTTCTATTTCCAACCTTCTGAGGAAGTACCATATTGCTTTCCAGAGTATTTGGACCATATTGCAGTCCCACCAACAATGCAGGAAGGTCCCAGTCTTCCGCATCCTCACCAGCATTTGTTGTCCTCTGCTTTTTTTTAATCTTTACTATTATTGCTGGTGTGAGATGATATCTCATTGTTGTTTTGATTTGCATTTCTCTGATGGCTAGTGATCGTGAACATTTCTTCATATGTTTGTTGGCTGCCTGGATCACCTCCTTGGTAAAGTGTTTGTTCATGTCCTGTGCCCATTTTTTTATTGGGTTATTTGTCTTTTTCTGTAGAAGTGTTGTAGTTCCCTATATATTTTAGAAATGAGTCCCTTATCTGATGTGTCATTGCAAAAGGCTTTTCCCATTCTGTGGGTTCCCTTTTTTACTCTTTTGGTGAAGTCTTTTGATA